CTACAGTGCTCATGTAATCGAACAACGCATATAGAAAACATATTACCAAGTCCTATAGGCATGTTATCTACCCATTTTGCATGTTAGTATTAGAATCGACCCATTCCCTTTTACTAACACCCCAATCATTTATACAAAGATTATTATTACAGACCCAAATTAATAATAAAGTAGTAATATTGCATGGCAATAGACAGGCCTATAGTAGGCCCAAATAGAATAACTAAATGCCCAGCCTTACTAGGCCTTCAAAACTTCTGCCATAGCAGACTTAGGCCTTCAACAAAGAACCACACAATCACAGGTCCATAAGGGAGTTCAGACCCCTTTCAATGAGCCATAGCACCAAGTGTTGCACCACTTGGAACAACCAATATAGATATACAATACATGACAGGGAAATAGAATATTAGGGATAGTTTTGGAGGTTGAGATAATGACTAGGTCCAAGCCCTAGTGTGTCAGAGTTCACAAGGGCCTCAATTGGACCCCGAGCAGTGCTCACACTAGGGAGGTCGACAATTGAACCTAGATAGCCTTGGCTTTCAGCCGGCTAAGAATGAGAATTCAGAATAGCATGAGTAGCAAATAAGGAAAGTGGATAGTGATAGAGGGACATAAATTAAGTACTACACCAAGTTAAGCATATAGAGCAACTAAGCAGACCAGTAGGTTCAGCAAGACAACAAAGCACCACATAGATAGTCTCATATTGAAAGAAATTGGGGAAGCAACGGGTTTGCAAGATATACAAAGATTATCATTCAACCAATTGAAACCTAAGAGGTTCGGATTAAGCTAAACATGCATCTTAGGGTCATACTAATCAGTATTTAGACATTGTGATAAATACTGGAAGAGGCAAAATATCAAATGAACAAAAACAGACTGGAAAACATATTAGCATGGAAGCAAGATCATAGTTGAGGCAAAATGGAATGTTTATCTTAAAATCCTATGTGATGCTAGGGATCAGGATAGCAAGGAAAACATGTTTAGAGTAAACCTCAAAGCAGTGTTCCATATAGTTATGGCTAGTACACAAAGAACAGTCAATCAGACACAAGACTCAGCACTAAATGATTCATTCAAAGTAAAGGGAAGTTTCCATAGAGTTATAGTAGTATCCAAAGCAAGGTATGAAGAAATTTTATAACTAACAACATATAGTCACAACAGTCAGATTCATATCAAAATAGGCATGCATTGAAACTCAAAACTGAAACATATTTAGATGCTAGAGGTACAGAACTGATTCCACAAGAAAACAAAGAAATAACATAGAAGTGCAGACCATAGTGAAGAACACATACCAACCTAACACAAACTAAGGACAAAGCAGTAAACTATCTCATGCATTCAACTATCATAGGATGACAAAAGAGTATTGAGCATTATCATAACAGTGCAATATCAGGGATTCACAGCTAAATCATACTCATATAGTACAAACACATATAGGCACGCAGAAGGAAAGAAAGAAAATTAATATTGCAAGGGTTAAAAGCACTAACCAGTAGCAAAATTATACGAGCAAAAGAATAGTAAAGAGCTTAATAGCAAGAACCCCAGATCTCCGATGCTTCAGAGTTCACAAGAGCCTCGAGAAGGGCTCTGAGTAGTGCTTGCACCGGAGGAGGTCGTTTAATGGCCTTGGCTTTCAGCCGGCCCAGAATTCAACAGTTTCACAAAATATTCGAGTGTAACAGAGTGAATGAGTAAGTGAAAGAGGAGAATAATGAGAATAATAGCAGTGATTAGGTGATTCCCCCGGTCTCCCCAAGGGGTTTTAGGGGAGGGGTTTATATAGTAGCAGATTTAACACATAAAATAGGAAAACACGGTAAATTAAACACATAATAAGGAAAATATGGCATGCCAGAATCAATTAAAGTCAATTTAGGGCAAATAATACATAGAATAGGAAGTTCAGTAAATTAAACGGAGAATAAGGAAAAATAACATGCAAATAACACTTAAAATAAGAGAATATAATAGATTGAATAGAGAATAAGAAAAATATCGGTCAAACACGATAAAGGAAAGAGTATCAGTCGAAAATCAGTAAAGGAAAAAAAGAAGTCTCAAACCCTAGTTGGGACTGACGACTTGAATCGAACCAATAATGCAAGAATCGTTCAGTATAACATGTATATAGACGAAAGATCGTCCAGATCTTCACAGAATCAAAGTAAATCGGTCCGTTCTTGAGAAGTAGTTCTTGCCAAAAATAGGGCAAGAACTAACTAACACCATAAACACGCGTATAATGACAGAGTATCACAAGATAGGTAAGTAGATCATGGATTGATTCCATGTTTGAGTCGGAATCGGAGAGGATTAAGGGTTACGACGGCTAGGGTTTAATCAAAGAAGAAGAGAGATGAGAGAGGCAGAGAGAATAGGGGCGGCATCTCAGGGGAAATGGGGTTAGGGTTTCTGGGTTGGGGTTAATTAAAAGGGGTTGGTTTATTAGGGGTCGTTGATCATATGAGATCAACGGCCAAGATGAGAGAATGGGGTTGGGCGGGTTGTTTAAACGGGTATGGGTAGTGGGTTGCTGGGTATTTTAAAAGGGGTATTTTGGTTTTGGGCTTAGGATAATTGGGCTAAGGTTTGGGTAGATTGGGCTAAGGTCTGGGTAGTATTGGGTCCGAAAAATAGGTAAGAAATTGGGCTATTAATTAAATACCTCAAAATTTATCAAAATAATTTATGGAAAATGCTTAATAAATGAGTGCAAATATTATTTATGCATTGAAATGCTTAAAATAATAACTTTGTATTATAAAAATATAAATTTTCTATTTTGACATAAATAATATAGAATAAAGAGCCTTTATGTATGAATATAGGCCATTATGGCAAAATTAGATAAATAATTTAAAAATGCTAATGTAATTATATGAAATAAAATAAAAAATTTGAAATATATATTATATGTGCAAAAAAAATAATTTTAGGTAACTAAGTCATCACAAAATAATTTAAAGGGATAATTACTAAATATTTGTATTATTTAAATGCAAGAAAATTAATTTAAAGATCTAAACAATTATGAAAAATTATAGAAAATGCTTGTATAGGTTTGTAAACTAAATATTGATGCAAATATGCTATTTTGAAAGTGTATATGTATTTTGAAAAATATGAGGGCAAAATTGGGTATCAACAGTAGCGGTTAAGGCAGTTTTGGGGCAACATATCAACAAGATTTTTCATCCGGTCTACTATGCTAGTAAGACCATGAATGATTCCCAAGTCAATTACACCGTTACAGATAAAGAGCTCCTTGCCATTGTGTTTGCAATTGAGAAGTTTCGCCCATACTTGATGGGTCAAAGGTTATTGTTCATACAGATCATACGGCACTTCGCTATCTTATGAGCAATAAAGATTCAAAATCTCGGTTGATGAGATGGGTGCTATTGTTGCAAGAGTTTAATATTGACACCCAAGATCGAAAAGGGAGTAAAAATCAAGTGGCGGACCATTTGTCTCGTTTGGAGGAGGAGGGGAGGCCGCATGATGGCCTTGAAATCAATGAATCCTTCCCCGACGAGCAACTCTTGGCTATTTCAATGAAGGAGGTTCCATGGTTCGCAGATCTAGCAAACTTCCTTGTGTGTGGAATCACCCCGGATGAGTTCTCTTCAAATCAAAGGAAGAAGATCAAACGTGATTGTCAAGATTATTATTGGGACGAGCCATACGTTTTTCGTATTTGTACGGATGGGGTAATTAGAAGATGTGTATCGGAAGAAGAGCAAAATGTTATTCTTGAGGCTTGCCATTCTTCGCCTTATGGTGGTCACCATGGCGGAGCAAGAACGGCGACCAAAGAGCTAAGTTGCGGTTTCTATTGGCCCACTCTCTACAAAGATGCAAGTAATATGGTGAAAAGATGTGATGAATGCCAACGAGCCGGTGGAATCTCGAAGAAGAATGAAATGCCTCTCACTACCATTTTGGAAATTGATATCTTTGATGTGTGGGGTATTGACTTCATGGGACCTTTTGTGAGTTCTTGTGGAAACACCTACATCTTGGTCGCGGTTGATTATGTCTCTAAGTGGGTTGAGGCCATTGCTCTACCCAACAATGAAGCGAAAAGTGTGGTGACGTTCTTGAAGAAGAATATTTTCACAAGATTTGGTACTCTGCGGGCTATTATAAGCGATGGGGGGTCGCATTTTTGCAACAAGGCTTTTAACACTTTGGTTGGCAAGTATGGTGTCACTCATAAAGTTACGACTCCCTATCATCCACAAGATAGTGGTCAAGTGGAAGTCTTCAACCGGGAGATATTTTGTCCAAAACAATGAATGCTAACTGGACGGATTGGTCAAAGAAGCTTGATGATGCACTATGGGCTTATCGGACTGCTTTCAAAACTCCTATCGGGATATCTCCATACCGGTTGGTGTTTGGCAAAGCTTGTCATCTTACGGTAGAACTTGAGCACAAAGACATGTGGGCTTTAAAGAAGTTGAATCTTGATTGGGATGCAACCGCTAACTTGCGGGTTGCATATTTGAATGAATTGGATGAGTTCTGGTACCATGCATATGCAAGTTCGTCCTTGTACAAAGAGAAGATGAAGTACCTTCATGACAAATACATTCGAAACAAGGAGTTCAAGGTGGGCGATCTTGTTTTGTTGTTTAACTCACGGTTGAATATGTTTCCCGGAAAGCTGAAATCTAAGTGGAGTGGTCCCTTTGAAATTGTGGGTGTGACACCTTTTGGTGCTTTGGACTTGAAGAAAATAAATGATGAGGTATTCCAAGTAAATGGTCATCGGGTGAAGCATTATTTGGGAAAAGTTGATGATGCCCACGTGATGGCAGTTATTCATTTGAAATGATGACAATCTACGTCGTGCCACGACGTTAAATCAGGCGCTTCTTGGGAGGCAACCCATGTTTATTTTTCTTTTCTTTTCGTTTTTTATAGATAGGTATTATTTTTGTACTAACTGGATTTGAAGTGCATTGCAGGGATGAGTGTACTTTACAGGAACTATGCTCAGAAAATTGGCTAAGTGTGGAAAGAAGTGCGGACTGCATGTATATTGTGTGGACCGCACAATTGTGATTGCTACATCAAAAGGGAACTGTGGTTGCACAATTGCAGTGCGGACCACACAAATTGGAAAGGAAAAATGCAAACTCTCTGAAGTTTGGTTTGTCAGAGAAATGGCCAAAGTGCGGCCGCACACCAAAATGTGCGGTCCGCAACAAAAATTTACAGTGGCACCACAAATTCTGTAGACCGTAGATCAGCTAGGGCTTTTGAGCCCCAGGTATTAGAGTGTGGACCGCAAAAGGAATTCTACGGCCGCACTCATCCCTTTGTCCCTCAAGTCAGACTGTCCAATATAAATAGTAACCTTAGGTCTACTGTACATTTTTTTCCCTCTCTGAGCACTCAAAGATCTAAAACATTGCAAGCATCTGCTAAATCATCCGCCATATATAATCAACATCTATGATCACTCATTTGCACTACTTCATATCTGGTATGCTTCAGTTTCTTGTAGAATTTGTTTTAAATTTTTAGTTTAATTTACAATTTGTTGGGTAGTTTTAGGCCATTTGTTAGTAGATTTAAATTTTACAACCATGTGGGGTTTAAACTATGTTGGGTCAACTGATAATTGCTCTATGAGGAATGGGTAACTTGATTTTCATGCTTAATTGTTAATACCATTTCAAATTTGTGAAATAATTGTTAACCCTAGAAATTCTGCTCGTAAATGTTTTGAAATCTGCGGCCGCACAAGAAATTGTGTGGTCCGCAGAAGTTGAGATTAGGGCACATTGATCAAGCATGATTCTGCCGCCACACCGAACATTGTGCGGACTGTAGAAATTCCATCGCAGCCGCAAAAAAGTGAGTGCGGCCGCAAAACAGCCCAATCTCTGTCTTCAGAGAGTTGGAATTTTGGTGAATCTGATGTGCGGCCTCGATAGAAAATGTGCGGACCGCACTCCAGTTCTGCGGTCACACTAATAATTGTGCGGACCGCAGATCCAGTTCTGCATTCGCAAGAAGAAATTGTGAGGTCCGCAATGCCCTGCCTGCGGCCGCACTTATAATTGTGCGGTCTGCACTCCCCTACCTTGCAAGCATGTTTTACACTGTGTGTTCACTATCTCTCTGGTGTGTTCTTATATGTTACACTTGAATTACAACTGACACCTGCTATTGCTTGTTACCGAAAATGGTTAGATCTCGAGGCCGAGGAGATACTTCAAAGGGGAGGGGTGAACCTTCCAAAGGCCGAGGCAAAAGTACTTTATCCCTCGCCCTCCAAAAGATAATCACAAAGAAGGCTACAGTCGGCCGAGGAAGAAATGCAGAGCCCTCCGAATCTAGTTCATATGCCCCATCTAGTAAAGCATCGGAGGGCAACTCAGTTCAAGAGCAGCCGACTATCCAATCAAAGCCACCAGAGAGGTATCAACTCCGGGACGAGCCTTCCACATCACATAGCACCTCCGAGGGTTCGAAGAGTGCCAGTCAGGCTTCGGAGCCCTCCTCTACACCTGTCCCTGAGGTACCAGCGACTACAGTTGATGATATTTCAGATAATAGCCGAAGGGAAGATACGACAGTTGTTGGCCTTGAGAGGTCGAAGAAGAAAGAGATTTGGGAGGACCGGTTTATCAGTTGGGTGCTTTCACTAGCTTCCGTGGGTGGTGGCCGGTGAGGTTGCTCTCTCTTGAGCGACAGTTCCAATTGAAAGACCTTGATAAGTATAATCCAGCAGTTTTGAGACAGTTCCGAGAGCAGAAGGGGTGGATGTGGTTCACCCAGAGTGTAGTGGACGCAAAGGAGTATCTGGTCCGGGAGTTCTATGCCAATGTGGCGCACATAAAGAAAAGGGACCAAAGTGACCAATGTGAGGAATCTGAAGGTGCGGTTTGACCAGCACACATTGAACTCCTACTTGGGGTTTGAGGATGTTGAGACTGCACAGTACTTGGAGAAGTTGGCGATGGGAGATGCAGCTCGCCCATGGCTAGCTGAGATTCTTGTAGCTCCAAGGCTACCACCACCATGGACCACAGCAGGGGTTCCTATTCAGCAGAACACCCTAAACTTTGAGGCGAAGGGATGGTAGACCTTTGTCTGCAGCAAACTAGGCCCATGCCAGAATGAAACAAACCTCCCTATTTTGCGGGCAGTTCTAGTCTCCTCCATCATGGTCGGGTACCCGATCAATGTGGGTGTTGTGATGTCCGCCAACATAATTGTGGTTTCCAAGCAAGCTGATACCTCCTACCCGTATCCCAACACCATCACTGAGTACCTTACGGATACAGGGTAAAGCCAAGAGATTTTAATACGAAGGTTCGGGCTAAGAAGCCTTTCTCATGGTATTCTCTGATGGATGCACACAACCCTAAGAGAAAGGGTCAGCCGACTACTACCATAGGCCAGTCTGATGACCCATCGGTGGTAGTTACAGAGACAGTTGATATGCCATCCACTTCAGTAGAGCCTTCAGCCAGTGTAGCTGGCATGCCCCCACCTTCAGCCTCAGTGCCTTCCACCTCGACTTTGAAGCCGGTACCGATGCCCACTGCTCTACTGACTTCGCTGCGAGTCTCCNACTGGGAAAGGAAGTGAAGAAGATTCGGAAGTCCCAGGCCTCCAAAAAGTCAGTGGACAAGCTCCAGCGATAGGTTACCAAGATTGCAGCAGCCGGAGACATTCCATTTGATATGCTGATAGACCCGCACCACCCCGGCCCAGATCCTACAGCACCTACAGCACCAGTTGGCCAGTCTGATGAGCCAGACACTACTGCTGACTCTGCCAAGGTAGTACATCAGATGTTCACCAACCCAGCCACTCCCGGACTTGAGGATGCTGAGATCCAATTGGATGAGGCTGATGTCGGTGCCACTGCTGGGGACACAGAGCCATAGGGAGTTTTCTTCACTCTCACCCTTCCTTTATTCTTATTTTGTTAAGCATTGGGGACAATGTTTATTTTTATTTGGGGATGGGGGAGGGTTGGAGTTTATTTGATATATTTTGATGATTCTGAGACAATTGGAGTATAATTAATTTAATACTATTGTCTTCTTCTTTCTCATTATGTATATATTCTCTCTACTCTCTCATTATGTATATTCGTTACGCTTTCGATAGTTTTTGTTTTATAGCTTCTTTTATGTTTGTTTTCTTATTATTTAGTATTTAACTAAGTAGTTTCTTTTTGATTTAATAACTTCTTTTCATGTTTTAGTATATAATAAGTCTTTGATTTTCTTAATGCCACGGTTCTTTCCAAATGTAGTTTTTGTGTGAACCAGGTGACTCTTCCCAACGATGGATGGCGTGACAACCTTCTTAAGGGATTGAGTCAATTTTTGGTGTTTAGGTAATAATAGTAGTAGTAATTAATAAAAATACCTAATTGAGTCATGCTCGAAGAGTCAAACATGCTTCACTTGGTACCAAAACACTTAACTACGCGCTTATGGTTAAAAATAAGATTTTTGGAAAGAAGTAGCTCTAGTTAGTGACCTTATGACTCTTGTGTTGACTTAGGCAATCATCGAGTGATTTAATCAAACCATAGTGATTTTCAATCTTGAATATGGTCGTTGTGGGCCCTCGACTATATCCTCTTTAACAATCCAGCTGCGTGAGAAGTGAGATATTTTTGTAGAAAGTCCAAATACCCGTGCGAATGGTCTAGAACTTGCCCTGAATGTGTTTCAAGGCGAAATCTTAAGTTTTGCTTGGCTTGAGAAGTGATTGTAGGCTCTCCTTGACCCGTTTGAAGTTTTCCATTGCCCACCAATGTTGTTATCCCTAGTCAACCCATTTGAGTCTCGAACCTTTCTCATTTGATAACCATGTTATAAGCCTTTACCCGTTTTGTCGTGACCCTCTCTTGGCACCCGAAATTTCCTTAACACTCTTGTGAAATAATTGGCTAAAAATGTAAGTTTGGGGAAGAGACGAGGAACTTGAAAAAGGTATCAAGGCACAAGAAGAGAAAAGAAATGAAGAAAAGGAAAGGCAAGAAAAGGAAAGAACAAAAAGAAAAATGCAAAAAAAAATGAATAAGTTGAAGAGTTGAAGGGTTTCAAAGAAAAATAATGATGCAAAGCATGGAGAAATCAAAGAGGGAGAAAATGAATGTCATGATCAAGAAAGAGTGATGTTAAGTCTCTCTAGTTCCCCCAAGGAAAAGAAAATGCCTCAAAGAATTGGCAAAGTATGAGTCGAGAACAGAAAATGGAGTGCTTAAGGAAAGATGAACCCGTTCTATCATAGCATATTCAACCTTAGTCCAAAAGCCTTCATTGCACTACGAAAAAAACCTATATGATTTCAAGTCGAGTGAGATTACATTAGTGGTTATCTACATGAGGGGCAAGCCTATGGTACTTAAAGCCGTACTTGTGACATTCTTTTGATAGAGATGAGAGCCTTTTGCAAATCTTGGATTGAGTGCTAAAATTCTTAAGTGATATAAGCAAACAGAGAGTAGATGAGGAGGAGTTTGGGATCCACAATGACCTACATGAAAGAGCGAGCTTCCTTGCTGAATAAAGTCAACTCTTGATACCCAAGTGTCACATTAGAACTATTTGTGCATAAAAGTTTAACTTGTTGCCTTGTTGATAATTCATAGGTAGTGTGGGTAATTATTGGTCCCAATTGATGTATGAATGGCTCACTTTTGATTAGCTGGAATGGCTTTTAACTTGTGGAGGTAGGATCTAATTTATTTGCTTGAGGACAAGCAAAAACTTAAGTTTGGTGGAGTTGATAAGTGAGGATTTTGACTACTTATTAGTGCCTTTTAGCTTTCGTTTTAGTCCAAAAGCGCTTAATTGTGTTCCCGAAAGCTAATGAAATGTGCTTAATTACAGGAATATTGGAAGATGAACTCCCGAGATGATATCCAACTCAAAAATGAGGACATAAAAGGCACAAAAGCTCAAAAGTACGGACCGCAGAATATAATCTACGGCCGCAGATTATGAAAGAAAAGTCAGCAGAGTTAGGTGCAAAGTGCGATCTGCACATGAATTGTGCGACTGCAAAAGCTGGGCCAAGAGCAAAGTTCAGAGAATGTGCATTCCAAGTCCATCAAAAGTGAGGACCGCACAAGAATTGTGTGGCCGCAGAAGAAGCGTTATGCGGCCGTAGATGTTAAAATCGCGGACCGCAGAAGATCAAGTGCGGTCGCACATGTAAAAGTGCGGACCACAGAAAGAGTGCCATGCGGCCGCAGACTTCCAGTCTTGACAAAGTGAAGAAAAAGTGCGGACCGCACATGGAATTGTGCGGTCCGTAGAACCCCCGAAGGATATTTTTGTTTGAAATTTCTAGCCCTGTATAAATAGTCGAGTTTCACAATTTTAGGTCAACTTTTGACATCAGCAGCTACAGTAGCCGTTTTTCTTTATTTCTTTTAGTAGTTTTTCATATTTTGAGCTATTTTAACATAGATTTTATCATTTTAATCTTGCAATATGAGTTTAATTATCATTTCTTCTTCTTTTTTTTCAATTTCAAGCATGAGTAGCTAGATTTTTTAACTAGAGTTGTGACCCAACCCAAGTGTGTAAACCTTATGGGTATTTAATATAACGGCAGAGGGCCAAATATACCCCTCTACTTTCGAAAATAGTCTAAGAGTACCCCTCGTTATACTATTGGGTTATCTATACTTCTGCAGTCATACTTTGGGTTCAAATATATCCCTCATTTAAACGGAGGGACACGTGTCATCGTCCTGTTGTTCAATTCTAAATATCTCCTAATTAATTAAAAAGACTCATTATCAATACCCGAAAAATAATTTTTTTTTATAAAAACTGGAAAAGACTAAAAAATAATTTTACTAAAAACTGAAAAAAACAAAATTTATCTTTTCAGTTTTTACAAAAACACTGCTTTAAAAAAATTGAAAAATATTTTCTAAAATAATATTTTTGTAAAAACTGGAAAAAAAAACTGAAAAGCAATTTTCTAAATAAATTAAAAACTTGAAAAAACTGAAATATTTTTAACTAAAAACTGGAAAAAAAATATTTATTTTTTCAGTTTTTACAAAAACATTGCTTTAGAAAATTGATTTTCAGCTCTTTTTTTTTAGTTTTTACAAAAATATTATTTTAGAAAATATTTTTCAGCTTTTTTTAAAGCAATTTTTTTTGTAAAAAAGTGGAAAAATAATAATTTCATTTTTTTCAGTTTTTAGTAAAAACGAATTTTGTTTTTTTCAATTTTTACAAAAAAATTACTTTAGAAAATATTTTTCAGTTTATTCTAAAGCAGTTTTTTTGTAAAAACGGAAAACAAAAATATTTTCGTTTTTTTCAGTTTTTAGTAAATATTTGTTTTTAGTTTTCTCCAATTTTTACAAAAAATAATAATAATTATTTTTAGGGTATGGATAATGGATCTTTTTAATTAATTAGGAGATATTTAGAAGTGACCAACAGGACGATGACACGTGTCTCTTCGTTTAAATTAGGGGTATATTTGAATCCAAAGTATGACTGAAGGGGTATAGATAACCCAATAGTATAACGAGGGATATTTTTAGACCATTTTCGAAAGTAGAGGGGTATATTTGGCCCTTTGCCGTTAATTTAATGCTTGTTTATGGTTGAGTGTTTATTATTTAGCCTTGTTCATGTTTTAATTTGTGGAATTAATGGTTGCAAATATTAGTTCATGCCTATTTGACTTGGTCTCTACTTGAGAAAGAGAAACTTAGTCTAGAAAAACTTGGCTAACAATAAATTGGGTCAATCGAGAGATTGATAATCCCAATTAAAGGGTTCAAACTAGAGATAATAATAACCCGACTTGAGCTTTTATCAACCATTTTGTGCAATCCTCATTTGGACTTGAGAAAATAAAATTGAACAAAATCACTCTTTGACCGAGAGGTATTAAGTGGTAATTGAGTGTTGATAGCTATAATAGACCTCGATCAACAAAACAAGCATTAAGGTTTATATTCCATAAGGCAAACACATAGGTGATGGTCATAGCCCTAGGCTTTTTACAAAAATTGAAAAATAACAAAAACAATTTCTTAGTTTTATTTCTCAACTTGCACTCTTAGTTTTAAATTAGACTTAAAAACAACTCCAATTTGTGGAAGTGTAAATTGAAATAATCAAATTCACATACTATAATATATACTTCTAACTCCCATATATAACTCCCTATGGAAATCGACCCCGACTCTTGTTGGGTACTATCATTGCATTCGACCATTTCATAACCTTGAATTGAGGTGTGAAATTGGACGAGCCCAGTCCATATAGATTTGATTCTAAATATATTCCCACTCCTAGCAAATATTTTTGTGAGGTCAATTTTTAGCGGGTAATGATTTGAGTGTGTTCTAGTGAGGTGAGTAACGTGAGCCTCTTGAAAAATATTAATCCATTCCGGGTTGGCTACGCACCTATCTAACCTTTCCTTAATAAGAGTATTTTTATTTTTTCTTTTATTTTTCCATGTAAATTTAGAACCCTTAAAACCTAGGTCCATCAACCTGCAGTGGTCTAGGCAGTTTAGGAACTCTGTTATTTGGTTGTTACTTACTGGGAGCC